ATTCAAACCGAATATCACGAATAGCATGCATCAAAGAAACCACACATGCAGCAATGCAAATTTTTTGGAATACAGTATCTTCACTTCTGGCAGCTAGTCCAAAAACATAATATTATTGAAATCATAATTAGGTAATTAAATTTGTTTGTTTGTTTGTTTGTTTGTTGTTGTTGTTGTTGTTGTTGTTGTTGTTGTTGTTGTTGTTGTTGTTGTTGTTGTTGTTGTTTGTTGTTGTTGTTGTTGTTGTTGTTGTTGTTGTTTGTTGTTGTTGTTGTTGTTTTTGTTTGTTGTTGTTGTTGTTGTTGTTGTTTTTGTTGTTGTTGTTTTTGTTGTTGTTGTTGTTGTTGTTGTTGTTGTTGTTGTTGTTGTTGTTGTTGTTGTTGTTGTTGTTGTTGTTGTTGTTGTTGTTGTTGTTGTTGTTGTTGTTGTTGTTGTTGTTGTTGTTGTTGTTGCTTATTATACAGTTCTATAAAAGAGCCAATAAAGTCGGTTTTCCACTAGCGAATTTTCTCGCACGAAGCGACCTTTTTCCTTTGTCGGTATCACTTATTACGTCAACAAGACGTGGCAAAATCAGTCCTCGAAAACGAGGTCGGCATTCGGCAATGCCGGACTAAATGCAAATTTTTGCCCACCTTAATTCAACCAAAGTAAGAATTTTTTATGCTGATAGGTTTTAAAAATGTCAGCGATTATAGAATTCGATTCGTAGTTCGATTAACTGAACACACTACGGTGTAATGTTTAAAAACTGACGGGTATTGTGTATTGTGTATATACGTTAGATGTTTGAAGATCAAATTTCGCGCGTTTGGAGTTAAAATTTGGCTCCAACTTTCGAATTTTCCGGCTGGAGGTAATGTTCCAGTTATATTCCGATTTCAATGATTCGTAAATTCGTGATTAATAGTGCTCCAAGACGTGGAACAGATTTTAAGAAATGCCGAGATTTTGACTTTTCGAGGGCTGCAAAATGGATGCCGACAGGAATTTTGGGTTTTCTGATTATGCGTGTCTCAGAATGATGCAAATGCCATTTCCGGGATTCAAATTTTAAAATTTTCCGTGCCTCCCCCCCCCCCAATATTTCATAAAATGTCCGCCACTTGCATACACTCCACTTGCATACATACCCCCTTGATGTCAAAATAGCGACAGTCAACGACCCAACATTACAACACCTTACGAAAGCAATCCGAACGGGCAACTGGACTGTCACTCCAATCCAATGGAACAGTGGCGTCGACCCACAGAAAATGAATGCATACTTCAAGCCTCGTAATGAAATAACAGTATCCAATGAAATTGATTTGCTTCTGAAGGGAACCTGAATCATTCTACCAGCACCACTTCGCTCACATTCGTTATCACTTGCCCATGAAGGACATCAGGATTTGCTAAAAACTAAACGTCTGCTAAGAGAGAAAGTTTGGTTCCCTGGAATAGACGCTCAAGCAAAATCAATGATAGAAAAGTGCATACCATGTCAAGCAGCGACACCCACCAAACATCACGAACCTCTACAAATGACGAAACTACCCAATGGACCTGGCAGAAACTTCCAGCAGATTTTTGTGGTCCCCTACCAACCGGTGACTATCAACTCGTAGTGACTTGTAATATTCCCGGTATCCGGAAGTAGAAATTCTAAAATACACCTCAGCAAAGGCAACAATACCAAAGTTTGACAAGATTCTTTCTACCCATGGCATTCCGTCTGAAATAAAAACTGATAACGGACCCCTTTTAATAGTCAAGAATTTAAGGAATTTTCAGAAGATCTAGGGTTCAGTCACCGAAAAATTACTCCACTGTCGCCCAAGGCAAATGCCGAAGCAGAGAGATTCATGCGAACTTTAAACAAGGCAATTATCACGGCACACACTGAGCAGCTCAATTGGAAACAGCAGCTGTATCGTTTCCTGCGCAACTATCGCGCAACTCCACACGCAAGTACCGACAAAACACCCGCGGAACTATTTTTTGGAAGAAAGATGAGAATAAAATTGCCAGAAGTTTTCCCAACTGTTGTTGATTGTGACCTCAGGTGTAAAGATGCGACCGCTAAAAGAAAAATAAAAGAATATGCCGATGACAGAAACAATGCGAAACCAGCTACATTTCAGATTGGAGATGATGTGCTAGTACGACAGCGAAAGCGTAACAAATTCTCGTCGTACAACAATCCCATACCATACCACATAGTTGCACAAAAATGCAGCATGATTACAGCTGAAAATGCGAAACACAAGATAACAAGAAATTCATCACATTTTAAGAAGATAACACGACGGTCCACTCGTGGATCCACTACGAATGACGATGATGGTGAAGACGAGGATATTCCAAACAGTGATATTGAAGAACCAGGGATACAAGAACAACCACAAAGACGATATCCTTTAAGATTAAATCGGGGACAGCCCCCTAACCGCTTTAGTGTACCACAGTAGCAGTAACATAAAACTAAGTCGCAGCGAACTATTATAGAGACTGCAAAAAAATAATCCAGAACACGCACACTATAGTTAGAGTATCCAGGTATATATATATATATATATATATATATATATATATATATATATATATATATATATATATATATATATATATATATATATATATATATAGTGAAATGTTGCTGATAACAAGATACAAGTGTTGTATATAGAAAAGGTTTCAATGTGCAACCAAAAGAGACATTTATAACGTAAAATAAAATAAAACCCACTCAAATTTTGCACAAACGTTTTCGCTTTAATGTTAGCTCCTCAGGTGCATATTTACAATGAGTGGAATTTAGTTTATCTATTATCTATACGTTCTATGATATCATATTATAATAACTATGTTAGGAATGCATATATTTACATGGTGTGAAGTCACCCGTTAAAAACATTCTATTGATCTAAATGTAAGCATAAACTTAATGTTTTTTTAATTAGCGTTCAGATCCGGATTCAGTATATTGATAAGTTCTTTTTCTTTCATCTCCCTAAAAAGTTTGTCCGTGTTAATGCATTGATATACCGTGTTAATGCATTGATATATAGGCATTATTTTGAAAATTCCGTTGTTACACATATTTAAGTGTTCGCTAGCTTACCTTTAGATGTCTATACTCTTCGTGTCGAATTTGTTCCTTGTCCAATGTCACTCTTTTTCGTAAGTTTTCTGTCTGGCCGACGTAGAAGCTGTCGCATTTTGAGCAAATGATCACGTAAATGACATATCTCGCTTTGCAGTTCATCGTCGAATTGACTTTCCAGGTTTTTTCGCTCTTTAATATATATATATATATATATATATATATATATATATATTTTCGCTCTTTAATATATATATATATATATATATATATATATATATATATATATATATATATATATATATATATT